CACTTCTTCCTTCCGGATTCGACGATAAAAAGAGTAGTTTCTACACTCTTCTGAGTTACTTAACTCCCCTAAAGAAGCACTCATTTCATGTCCTTCATTGAAAAGATTATGAAAATAACCTCTCCATCTGTCTTTAACCGCGTTCTCTGTAGCAAGAACCTTTCCATCCTCATCCTTGATGCACCTCACTTGGTTTAGGTCCCTTGTCTTCTTTTCCCTTGCTCTAGATAGTTTATAGATATCCAACTCTCCTTCTTTGGTATCTAGTCGTTTATATACATATCGTCGTAAGCCGCTAACTTAGCTTCTCTGACAGCTTTCTTCGCCTCTTGCTTCGCTTTTCTATACCTTTCACCATTTTCATCGGTCCTCTCCTTGTATAAGGCTTTACAACATTCCTTCTTAGCCTTCACCTTTGTTTGTACCTCCTCATTCCACCACCAAGATTCCTTTTGGTGTGGGGCAAAGCCCTTGGACTCTCCTAATACCTCTTTTGCTACTTTTCGGATACAACTAGCCATGGAATCCCACATTTGGCTAGCTTCCCCCTCTCTATCCCACACACATTGGGTGATTACCTTCTCTTTGAAAATGGCTTGTTTTTCTTCTTTTAGATTCCACCATCTAGTCCTTGGGCACTTCCAAGTCTTGTTCTTTTGTCTTACTCTTTTGATATGTACATCATCCATCACAATAAGCGATGTTGATTAGCCACGCTCTCTCCTGGTATAACTTTGCAATCCTTACAAGTTATACGATCCCCTTTCCTCATTAGAAGAAAATCTATTTGTGTTTTTGACGACCCACTCTTGTAGGTGATCACATGTTCTTCTCTCTTCTTAAAAAAGGTGTTGGCTAAGAAGAGATCATATGCCATTGCAAAATCCAAGATGGCTTCCCCATCCTCGTTTCTCTCCCCAAAACCATGGCCACCATGAAAACCTCCATAGTTGCCTGTCTCCCTGCCCACGTGTCCATTTAAATCTCCTCCTATAAATAACTTCTCCGTCTGAGCAATTCCTTGCACCAAGTCTCCAAGGTCTTCCCAAAATTTCTCCTTCTAACTCGTATCCAACCTACTTGAGGTGCGTACGCACTAATCACATTGATAAGTTCTTGTCCTATTACAATCTTGATTGCCATGATTCTATCTCCTATTCTCTTGACATCTACAACATCTTATACCAAGGTCTTGTCCACGATGATGCCAACACCGTTTCTCGTTCTATTTGTGCCCGAATACCAAAGTTTAAACCCTGAGTTTTCTAGATCCTTTGCCTTACTACCAACCCACTTAGTTTCTTGTAGGCACATAATATTTATCCTTCTCCTCACCATAACTTCCACTACTTCCATAGATTTTCCCGTTAAGGTTCCTATATTCCACGTTCCTAAACGCATTTTGCTCTCTTGAACTCTACCCTTCTGTCCTAGCTTCTTCACCCTCCCCCGTCTAATAGGATCAAAGTACTTCTTTTGTGTGTCCCGGGTAAAGTTGATAGGAGCATATGCTCCCAAACAACTTTGAGTGGAGTCGTTCGAAAAGAAGTTTCTATGGCCCCCTTGCTCATTTAACACTGCATCCGGGTGCCGATGGAGATACAGCGACCCTTGCTCACTTATCACTGTGCTCGGGCCACACAGCGCGCCACTTACGGGTGACGCCCTAGCTTTAGCGCGATTTTGTTCTGGATTCATTTTCATAAGGATTCGACGTGATCATGGAGTGCCGGCTGTCGACTACCTGACGCCCTCCCCCTCCTCCTTTATCCGGGCTTGGGACCGGCCATGTAAGACATAGGCGGAGTTGCATAACTAATCAAACATTGTTGAATTTGGAATTGCTTTATGTAATAGTGAATTGGATTACGAATCAAACATTGTTTGTATGTAATGTTAGATTGATTTCTAATGTTGAGACTTTGTTTTGCTTTTGTTATTGAGAATGCATATTACTGAACTTGATGTGTTAAGACTAAATTATGTTATATATCAATTAATAGGTAATCAAGCCAAAACTTGCTAGGCCTGGAAGAGTTCCGGTCACCACCTGTGCTTGGGATTGCGACGGAAAACGCATTGCTGGTGGTATAGGACATGGTTCTATACAGGTATTGGCTGGAATCTCTTACTTCAATAACCACAGTAGTGAATTAGCTCACAAATGGAAGTTTGCATTGGTTGGATAGATAGATTTATGTTGTTCACTGTTTGCATCAGCTCCTTCTCACATTACATGTATCATTCTGACAGGTATGGAACCTTAAGCCTGGATGGGGGAAGTAGGCCAGATATACACATCCAGAATAGTCATTCAGACGATATTACCGGGCTTAAATTTTCTGTGGATGGGAGAATTTTACTGTCAAGAAACCTTGATGGTACATTGAAGGTAATGAATTTCGTGTCTAAAGAGTATACTGCTATTTATTACCGGTCTAAGATGTGCTTCGTCGAGATTTATTCTGTCTGTTGTGTATTTCCCTACTAATTCCATAATGTGTACCAGGTTTGGGATTTGCGTCAGATGAAGGATCCTCTTAAGGCGTTTGAGGATCTCCCAAACAACTATGCCCAAACTAATTTAGCATTTAGTCCCGATGAGCAACTCTTCTTGACTGGAACGTCTATTGAAAGGGAAAGCACCACTGGAGGTTTGCTATGCTTCTTTGATCGAGGAAAACTTGAACTTGTTTCGAAGGTTGGGATATCCCCCACGTCCAGTGTTGTGCAGTGTGCCTGGCACCCAAAACTCAATCAGGTAATGCTCTCACTGATAACATGCTTTTTTAGTCCATCATTTTCCTGAACTGTTCTAGGGCGCACATTGATTATTTGGGAACCACACAATACATTCGTATGCATGCATGCACAATTTATGAAGAATGGAAATATACTCAAAAGTTACATAAATTAAAAAAAATGAAAAATCTTACATGCCTGTGTTTTTTAAATCTTTGCAACATCAGGAGATAAAAGCCAAGGAGGAATTCATGTGTTATATGATCCAACACTTAGAGCAGTTCCAGCGGGAACCCTCCCCCCAGGCTATTCACTGTTTAATCCAACCAGTGAACAGTAACTACCCTTAACGAACAGTTGCCTTTTGCATCTCCACCCCTACACTTGAATAGCCCTGACAATAAGTAAATAAAATAATAACATTTTTTTGCAACTTGCTCACGTCACTCCCCCTCTTTGCACTCATCTTTCTCACTTCTCTCCATTTATTTTGAAGTTCACCTCTCTCTCTCTAAACTCTCGACACTCTTACTCTCTCTAGAGCTCCGAGAGCTCTCACCCACTTTCCTCTTCAAAAATTAAACAAATCAAACTCCAAAACCATGAAACCTTAATCTCTGGGACTAAAGGATCCTAGCTATACCGTTGCATGCGTCATCGAACCATCACGGTGTAAACCGCCATTGAAACCGAGAACTTCAAGATCTGAAACTCGAACACAGGTGAGGTTCTCTATGAAAATCTTGTTTCATTATGTCTTAATGTTGTTTGGGACAAGATTTGTGGTGTTTTTCCAGTTCGAAACCAGATGTTTAACCCCCTGCAATTTCACTGAAACCTTGCCCAGTTTTTGGTCCCCTCCTCGAAGCAAACTCCGGCAAGTTGGTGGGTTCTGGAGCACTTGCTCAATTCGGCAAGGCGGTGGTGGTCACGAGACAGAGGCATTGGGGAGAGTCGTCGCAGTCGCCGCCGCCCATACACTGTGAGACAACGACGTCGTTCAAGAACCATGAAGGTTGAGGGAGAGAAAGGGAAGTCCCGTCCACCATGTGGCTGGCGTCGCCATCGCCCTGACGTCAGCCCACGTCAGACTACCTTCGGGCACTCGGGCTGGCACGAATCGACGAGCCTGGCGCTCGGGCCTGCTCGGGCTGTCTCGCCAGCCAACGCTAGGCTTCCTCCCTCGGGCAATCAAGCCTTGTTTCGCAGCCTGTCCCTCGAGCACGAGCTCCTGCTGGAGCTGCTCTTAGTGAAAGAGGAGCCCTCGTTTGTGTTGCGTGTGCCCCCAGGAAAAAGTTTATTGATGATTTTGAGGCAAAACCAGTGATTCACAACCCTCATGCTCTACCCTATTCAGAGATCAGCCAAGCCATAAGCGTGAGCGAGAGAAAGCACTGAAAGACCCACTGAAAGCCCATAAGCCCGAACTCCCCATGATGGGACCAGGTTTTGGTGGAAGAGTTGGCGCAAGTAAAGGAAGCTTATTGACCCAGTACCTCATGAAGGTAATGTTTTTCCCCCATAAAAATATTTATCTTTAGTTCCCGGATTTAATGTAACTGTAGAAAATATATATACTGATCCTTTGAGTCCCATCTCAGACGTGGATGGACGAACATCCAAGAGAAGCCATACTCAAGTATGCAGATGTTGCAGCAAAAGAGCGTAAGTACATTGCACCAGTCTATGCGCAAACCCAGCCTGAAACAGTTTTTGCAAAATCAGGCTCTGAGGATGAAGAGAAATGATCTGAGAAAGGTTGCCGTTACTAGAAAAGTTAATTCGCAGGCCATCGCCAACAGAAACAGAAGCAAATCCACCCCATATTTTGAACTTGTGCCTTGTGATTCGTCAAAACAGCTACAGAATCTATGACATAGAAATCTTCGAGTTTCAACTCGGAGTCATTGTACAATGAAGCATTTAGAACTTGAGAAATTGTAACTTGATTTTCATAAACGTAGACAGTACAATTTAATGGATTGTTAATGGAAAAAGAAAATTCATGCTACAATTTTTACTGAAGAGGGCCCTAATTCTGTTGTCTCGTTATTCAAGCGTTGTGACATTAGTTTTGTTACATATTTTGGGAACCAAAGGAACCAGTCAAACAAACCGTACGTTAGAAATTATAGAGCAATCTAACATGCCTTTAATTTCCAAAAATTAATAAAGAACAAAAGTCTAACATGCTTTTGTTTTTGGACATGTTTGCAACATTAGGCCGGATTTGTCATGCTCAAAATAACCTACATTTCCTAATCACTGACAACTAGTTTTTCATCACCAATCTTATAATCATAGTCTCGGTGACTGAACACAAAAACCTTCCGAACCATTTGCTCCGGCTTCAAATTCTCATTCACAGCCACTTCCAAAATCAAATCAAACAGACTGCCAAAATCACGATACGGGTTGATCGGATTCAATAACCTCCTAACGAATTCGCACCCGTACCTAACGTCCTTGCCTGATATCAAATGCATCTCAGGGCAAGAACCGTGACTGACCACTTTCCCTTTCCATGGCTCTTCACTCAATTCAGACACCAAAAGTCCCAAAGCAATGGGGACCTCGTCCTTTAATGTCAAGTTGATGATGTCACATACAGCCAAGCAGTTGTTCATCTTGCCTTGCTTTTTGAAGTCCTCCACCATTGCTATCCACTGAAGCTCAGCCACTACCCCAACATTCCAGTGATGTATATTGCGTATGATCTCATGTGGCAGCAAAGCATCTGCCACGATCTTCGTCTTGCCAGATTTCACCTCCTCCAAATACTTGTGAACCACACGGCTTCTATCCTCTTCTTCTTCTACTGGCGGATCATTTCTGGGGTCATAGAAGGCCTTGTCTAAGGGCATCAAAACCTCATTCGTGAGGCGTTGTAGGACCATGTCGACATAATCTGCCTCCGCAGCATCACCTTGGCATTCCGCTCGTGGGAAAAACTTCTTTGCAATGCTTTCACGCATCTTCGTGGTGCTATAGGCCTGGGCGTACAGTTCACAATCGGAATTGCAACTTAACGCAGCCTCGCTTATGGACGTGCGGCGGCCACCATCATTAGTATCAGATTGCTTCAAATTTTCAATATCAGACTTCAGGTGCTGCATAAAAAGATCCAAAATCCGGTCGTGCAAAAATTGATAGTCCGCGTACCTTAAAACTGATAATTCAGGATCTTGGCCTTCTAGAAGCAGGTGCAGAATCCGGACGGTGTCACTAAAGCACCCGAACGACAGGGTAAACGTGGGTGTGATGTTGGACGCTAGGGTTTTGGGGTGGTGTTGGTGTAGCCAACACGCCGCGGTGTAGAACGCTTCTCTGTAGGCTTTTCCAACGTGATAGGCTTCTCCATCCACGTCCATTAATATTTTGTGTTGTAGCAGGTTCCAGATGAGCTTCACGGCGGTTAGGGGATTGTGGGATCAGGCCAGCGGGAGCAGCCGCTTCAATGTGCTAAAGGAGGGTTTGACAACATTGTAAAAAAGATCAAGACAGGGGTTTTCGATATTTTTCGGCTTGGCTGTTGCTGCTTGTCTGTTGAAATTGGCAACCATCATTCTCTCATATCTAGGTAGTTGAGCTCTGTTGAAACTGGACCCAAAAATCTTCTTGTATAATTATGAGGAGCCGACGCCAAAAATCTTGTCGTAAGTTGTGAATACTACTGTTGACATGGTTTCTGTTTGCTGCTTTGGCAAACCACAGGATTTTGGCCATGTTTGCTCCCATGATCACTGTAATGACGAATTCAAAAAGAAACAGTGGTTAAAACCCTATCCTGTTTATTTTCTTACCTAGCTTTTTATATATGCGGTTGAGAGAAGTGAGCTCCGGGAGGAAGAGGGTCTAGGTTTTAAATCGATCCGACATAATTGTTAGTGTTTGATAGAGTTAATTCTAAGGAAGAAGAGGAGATGAATTGTTTAGGAAGAAAAACAGGGAGAGAAGAACGTGGTTGTTTCTTCTTCTGCAAAGTCACAGAGGAATAACTTTGTTTTCATTAATTGTCTCTCTATCTCTTGCACACAACTTGCAAAGAGAGATATAAAGCTTTTACAAAGCTGAGCCGGATCAATACAATTAAAATAAATCTCAGCCACTCATTTAGCTAATAGCTAAGATCATCACACATGACACTCATGGCCTTTTATATCTATATACCCTCTCACTTAGTATTTAACATAGGTGCATACACATATTAACATCACAACTTATTTTTAATCAGCTTTAGACTTATACTTCAACACTCCCATTTAAGTCCAAAGCTGATATGACTCCTAGCTTGTCTCTGAGATAGTTAAACCTTTCTTTTGGTAAAGCTTTGGTAAAGATGTCTGCTACTTGCTCTTTGGTAGGACAATAGATCAAATAGACTATTCCTTGCTACAGAGCATCTTTGATGAAATGGTATCTCCTATCGATGTGTTTTGTCCGCTAATGGAACACTGGATTCTTAGTGATTGAAATTGCAGATGTATTGTCACACTGCAGAGGAGTTGCTTCTGTTTGTAGCTCTTCAAAATCCTCCAAGACAAATCTGAGCCAACTAGCCTGAGTTGTGGCTTCAGAGGCATTAATGTACTCTACTTCTACAGTGGAAGCAACACAGCTTTGCTTCACAGAAGCCTATGAGAACACTCCACTTCCAAAAGAAAAAGCATACCCTGAGGTGCTTTTGCTGTCTTCAATTGATCCTCCCCAATCACTATCACAAAATCCAACCAAAACTGCCTTCTTGCCTTTCTCATACTTCAAACCATAATCTAGTGTCCCTTTGACATATCTGAGCACTCTCTTGGCTGCTCCATAGTGCTTATTTGTAGGACAATGTATATATCTAACTAGTAAACTAGCTATATACATCACATTCGGCCTTGTAGCAGTAAGATACAACAAACTCCCCACAATCTTTCTATATTGCTCTTCATTTGCTGCACCACTTCCATCATCTCTGCTTAACTTTTCAGTAGCAACTAGAGGTATGGAAACGGATTTGCACTCCTTCAAGCCAAATTTATCCAACAAAGAAGAAGCATACTTCCTTTGATGAATGAAAATGCTTGTGTCAGATTGTATCACTCCTATTCCTAGAAAATGGTGGAGGAGCCCGAGGTCTGTCATTTCATATTTCACCTTCATGTCTTCTTTGAACTCATTCAACATTTCCTGATTGCTTCCAGTATATACTATGTCATCAACATAGATAGAAACAATTAAGATATCATCATCTCCTTTTGTCTTAGTATAAAGAGTTGTTTCACTCAAACTTTTTGTAAATCCACACTTAGTGAAGTAGTTATCAATTTCCCCATACCAAGCTCTAGGTGCCTGCTTTAACCCATAAAGAGCCTTGTGCAATCTGTAGACTTTGTCCTCCTTTCCATCAATTACAAATCAGGTTGTTCAACATATACTTCTTCCTACAATTTTCCATTCAAAAATGCAGATTTAACGTCTAGTTGATATAACTTCCAGCTTCTTTGTGCGGCAAGAGCAATCAAGGTTTTTATTGTGTCCAATCTAGCAACCGGAGCAAAAGTTTCATTGTAATCGATTCTTGGTTTCTGCACATACCTATTTGCAACCAGTCTTGCCTTGTTCTTTTGTACTGAGCCATCCAGATTCAACTTAGTTTTGAACACCCATTTCACTCCAATGACATGTTTATCACTTGGTCTATCTACAAGCTCCCAAGTTCTATTATTCTCAATCATTGACAATTCTTCTTCCATTGCTTTTACCCAAGCCTTGTCTTGTGCAGCTTCTTCATATTTCTCAGGTTCCACAATACAAAGGTTGCACTGTGCCATAATGTCATTTATGCTTCTCCATTTCACTGAAGTATGATCATAAGGCTGAGAGATCTTTACAGATTCATGAATGCTGTTTTCTTGTTCTTCAGTATGAGAATGAATAGAAGAACTTGAGGCACTACCTTCAAACTCACTCAATTTATGTGAATTCTGAATGTAGGTTACAGCAACAGGATTCTCTGAATTTTCGTTCCAATTCCAGTTTATAGTTTCATCAAACAACACATCTCTTGACAAGATTAACTTCTTAGTGCATGGATCAAACACCCTGTATCCCTTCTCACATGTAGCATATCCAACAAACACACATTTGACACTCTTAGCATCTAGCTTCTGTCTTATCTCAGATGGTATATGCACATAACAGATTGATCCAAACACTTTTAGATGACCAATTCCTGGTTTTTTGCCACTGTAGGCCTCAAATGGTGTTAGATTATCAAGTGCTCTTGTAGGTAATCTATTTAGAATGTACACTGCCGTGTGTATTGCCTCTGCCCACAGAAAGTATGTCAAGCTTTTATCATGAAGCATTGCTTTGGCCATTTCTACAACTGTTCTATTCTTCCTCTCCACTACTCCATTTTGCTGTGGAGTATAAGCCATAGACATTTGTCTTTGTATTCCTTCAGTCTCTAAGAATTGGTTGAATTCATTTGATACAAACTCACCTCCTTTGTCACTTCTTAAGCACTTTACTTTGAAACCATTATGTAATTCTACCATTGCTCTAAACTTCTTGAAATAAGTTAGAGCCTCAAATTTCTGTCTTAGGAAATAAACCCATGACATTCTTGTACAATCATCAACTAGAAGCATGAAGTACTTATTCCCAGCAATTGATTCATTTTGCATAGGACCACACAAATTAGTGTACACAAGCTCTAGAGGACTACTTGCTCTCCAAGCTTTCTCTTTTGGAAACCAATCACGATGTTGTTTCCCAAACTGGCATCCATCACATACACCATCAACATTTTCAAGATGTGGAAGACCATGTACCATTTCATTCTCTCTGAGTTGTTTAAGGCTTCTGAGATTTAGATGTCCTAATCTCTTGTGCCAAATCCAAGTAGAACTTGAATCAATGCTAGCTTTCAAAGCAAGTTGACTGTTTTTCCACAGAGAAAGAGGATAACATCTATTTTCCTTCTTCTTAACTTTGATGACAAGATTATCAAGAGAGGGTCCATGAAATATACTACACATGCCTCCTCCAAACAAGAGATAATATCCATGCTCATCCATTTGTCCCACACTGAGCAAATTTTCTTTCAATCATGGCAAGTGCATGACTTCCCTAATGTACTTCTTCCCTTTGTTAATGTTAATTTCCAAAGAACCCATTCCAGCAACATTTACTAATGCACTAGTGGGCATTTGTACCTTTCCAGCAACATTTGTCCTTATATCAACAAGAAGATTAGCATTCCCTGTCATATGATTACTACACTCACTGTCTATGTATCAGTTACCATTGACATTTGTCTCTGAAATTGCACAATTAGCATAGAACAAATTTCTTGTCACTTCCACTTGATTTACAGAATTTGCCTTTTGCACCATATTTCCTGCAGTGCATTCTCTAGCCCAGTGACCAAACTTATCACAATTATAGCATTTGGGCTTCCCCTTATATCTACACTCACGAAAATGGAACTTAGAGCATACTCTACACTGTGATTTGGTACCTTCCTAACCCATTGACTGTGACTGATATGAATTTGATGCAGGACTATTGAAAGGTTTCTGTTGAAACCGAGGCTTTGAATCCCATTTCTTCTCCTTAGAACTCCAATTCTTCTTAAATTTCGATGGACCAGATTTAGTCTCACTCTTATTTTGCCCTTTTGGACTCACTGAGAATGATGCAAATGCCTTCTCAATGGTATCAACATTATGTAAATCGAACTGTTGTTCTTGACTCTTCAAGATTGCAACTACTTTCTGCAATTCTACAGTCTCTAGACACTTTGTGTTTTCTATAACCAAGCAAATAGAATCATACGGTTTACTCAGACGAATTAGAACCTTCTGCACAAGTCTCTTATTAGAAAGAGATTCACCAAATGTTCTCATCTGATTAATTAGTTCATTCAATCTTGTAAGATAACTAGATAGGGACTCATCATCTCGCATTCTAGCATACTCAAATTCCCGTCTAAGATTCTGAAGTTTTACAGATCTAACCTGATCACCACCATGGTATTCGCCGAACAAGAGATCCCATGCTATCTTAGATGAATCAGCATTAGCAATTCGAGGGAAAATCTGATCAGATACTGCATTTTGAATGATTCCTAAAGCATTCGCATCCTTCATGAACACAGTAGTCATTTCTTCATCGACTGCTGATAGAAGGATATTTATGCGACTGAGTTAGCTTGTTCTCTTGCATTTATGTTGTTATTTCTTAGTTAATTATGTATATTAAGCTATTTTCATGTGTTTGTAGGTCCATAGACCTTATGAAGCAATAAGATGCATTTTGGTGCATTTTGGAGCAATTTTGAGCTTGGAATGAATAGCACATGCATGGAGCAAGTTGGATGGACGAAATTGAAGACTAAAAAGGCTAGGAATGTGTTAAAGAGAAAGAAGAATTAATGTAAAAAGGACAAAGAGCTCAGCCACAAAGGGGTGTCACTCCACCATTCACCTTTCCATCATTGTCGTGCACCACCATTGCACTCCCTTTGGATTCCTATGCCGTGCATCATCATCCATGTTCCCTCCATTGACTCATTTGTTGCATCATTCCACCTCCCTTTCCTTTCTCTACCATGTGCACAATCATTCATGTTCCCTAGCTGCAACACCACTCCATTTTACCCCCATGCTTTGCATTATCACTTCACTTTCACCTTTGAATCATTTCAAACACCACTCATTGCACTCAATTGCTACACCATTCCTTGTTCCCTCCATCATTTCAGATTCATGCATCATTACATTGAATCATTGCACTCAATTGCTACAACATTCCTTGTTCCTCCATCATTTCAGATTTTCCCTCCATCATTTCAGATTTCATGCATCATTACATTGAATCATTGCACTCAATTGCTACACCATTCCTTGTTTCCTCCATTTCAGATTTTATGCATCATTACATTGAATCATTGCACTCAATTGCTACACCATTCCTTGTTCCCTCCATCATTTCATATTTCATGCATCATTGCACTCAATTGCTACACCACTCCATGTTCCCCTCCATTGCCATGCACTTCCTCTATAAAAGGAAGTGTGTGTAACATAAATTTAGTTCATACTGGGTTAGATCATTCACTCCCATTTTCAACACAACCTTCATCTAAACACATCCATTCATCTTCACATCCATTCCTCCATACAAACAAACCTTCAAACACTCACCAACCTTGTGCCGTAGCAAAGGAAAGGAAGGAAAGTGTTTGGACGTGCTTGCTGTCCAACTTGGATCGTTGGAGCGTTTAGGTGTTTTCTTTCTTTTGTTTCTAATGTTTAAATTCATTTCCTTTCATTTTTTTGTAAATATGAGTGGCTAAACCCCTCTTGGTTAGGGGTGATTCAAAGCCATGATTATGTATGCAATATAATTTGATAAATTCCAGTTATGAACTCTTGAATCATGAATGCAATTGGCTTAACTATTTGATTGATAACTTATTTGTATTTGTTAATTAAGGGCCCACACTTAATTGGCATGCATAAATCCGTTGCTAGAATATAAGGAAGTTTCACATAATCGTTACAAACTTATATTCACATGTAGTGAATGTCGCTTATAAACGATCGCATTAAGTTCAATTCCTAGCATGAGTGACATGATGTCATAGTTGCAAGTGCTTTGTCAATGCTTATGATTTTCATTAAACGTAATGATCTTTGATTGTATCTCTATTATGATGTCATGTAGGAAACTTTAGAAGAATGTTTTGGGTTGTCGAATGATGTCATCCAATCCAATAAAACAAGAAAAATCTGAGAGTTAACTAGTGATGTCATGGTTAATTTGGAGCATTGTCGTTCATAATTCAATGAAGTAGTAACTGGAAATCAAGTTATTTGCATACATGTCATGTGTGGAGAAAAAGGCTCTAGCTATCCCATCCATCATCTTATTTCTCACATTCGTTTTACAATCCGTCTAGTTTTTCATACTTGTTTGTTTGTTTCAACTTCATCCAAATCAAAACCCCCCATTTTAGTTTCTTGTTTCAAAGTGTTTCAAATCTGTTTTAGTTTGTGTTTTTAAGTGTTTTGATTTAAGTAAAAGTCAATTTTCGTCCAAAGTCATTCCTAGTGTCTAGTTTAAGTTTATTTGGTTGTTTTAAGCTGTTTTGAGTATTTTAAGTTGGCTTTGAGTCTTGTAAGTCTTGTTAAGTGTTTTTAAGTTTAGTTTTATGTTTTGAGTCAGTTTAGAGGTTATTAGCAGGCCCTTCTAATCCCCGGTCCAAAACGATCCCTACTTATACTTGTACAACAATTATCAAAAGAGGGTTAAATTTGTGTGTTAAGATAATTTTCGCATCAACTGCATCGTCCGATGACCCTTCAGCTTCCTTCTTCTTCTTCGAGTCAGGGGTTGTAATCCCTTTGTCCATCAGATTCCATAACCCAAGTGATTTGAAGATCGTTACCATCTTAATCCTCCAGAACTCGTAGTTCTCACCGGAGAAAATTAGGGTTCTTACCTCCGAGCTTCCAGATCCAGACATCTTGGTCTGACTGTTGATTTCTCTCCTCAAATGAAACTCCGGCAACCTTCACCGAGCTTTGACTTAGCTCAGTGACTTCACAGCTTCACGCCCAGATTCAGTTGATCGAAACCGGCTCTGAGGCCATGTTAGTGTTTGAGAGAGTTAATTCTAAGGAAGAAGAGAAGATGAATTGTTTAGGAAGAAAAATAGGGAGAGAAGAACGTGGTTGTTTCTTCTTCTGCAAAGTCACAGAGGAATAACTTTGTTTTCATTAATTGTCTCTCTATCTCTTGCACACAACGTGCAAAGAGAGATATAAAGCTTTTACAAAGCTGAGTTGGATCAAAACAATTAAAATAGATCTCAGCCACTCATTTAGCTAATAGCTAAGATCATCACACATGGCATTCATGGCCTTTTATATCTATATACCTTCTCACTTAGTATTTAACATAAGTGCATACACATATTAACATCACAACTTATTTCTAATCAACTTTAGACTTATACTTCAACAATAATTAGTAAGATATGTATTTTTTGGTTTCATAACATTCCTGATAATCAGAATGCTTGGACATGTATATGCAGTAGACAATCGCCTAAATCCTAAACCCTAAAACCACCTTAACTTAAGCAATTTGTTTTTTTCCTGACAAAAAAAGTACGCAGTCTTTTTACCTTTCTCGTACCAGGTTTACCCTAAACTTAAGAGAGTAATTAAGTTAATATAATCCCTAAAATTTAGGATTCTCTATATCTCCCTAAAATAAGGATTATCTATATCTTCAATTTGAATGATATCATTTAAACTAGGTCCGAATGTGTGCACCACCTTGATGCAGTGTCACGTGCTGATTAACTTAACCATGCATGGGAGACCAAATCTTTAAACCAAATTTACAAACCAAATGATACAAATTTGTTTAGGCATATCAAGGACTTTGATAAAAAAAAAAAAAAAATTTAAAAACCAATAAGGTTCCAATCAAAGAACATTGGAAGCTTATTGATTTTTAATTGGTATGATTTGAGCAGCATTAATCGTATGTAATGAGATGAGATGTAGTGCGGTGGATATTGAGCAGTGTTCTAAAAATCAGCCTAGGCAGCTGTCTAGGCGCTGGGCTGAGACTAACCGCCCCAATTAACTCGTAATCGGTTGCAAAATCAGAGAAAGTATTAGACGGATAGGCATGATTAGGCGGGTCTAGGTGGAGCTATGCAGGTCTGCGCGGGGCTGGGCGAAGTCTAGTCGACCGTATTTGAAGACGTCGGAACCAGGAAAAATTTTGAATCTGGAAAAGTCAGGTTGTTGAGTCGAGAGGAAGAAGATGACTGGTGGGGTCCATCTTTTTTTTTTCAATTTAAATGGACAAATGTGATCTTTATGGTCCCACCACTCCTGTTTGGTTCCTCGTTTCCACTATTTTATGTTCTTTTTTTTTTTGGATCAATATTCTTTTGTTTCTTTTCTCACCCAAATCAATCATCATTCTTTACTTTTTAAATATTTTTGTATTGTTTTATTATTCCTTTTCCTTTTAAGACCATTTATATTAAAAACCCTAACATGACATATATAACATTTAAAAAAAAAACATATTATTTATATAATAAATTTCAATTTTATATTAAATTAACTTAAATCCACCTAGGCGCTAGGCCCCTTCTCGCCGCCCGACTAACATCTAGCGCCTTTTAGAGCCTTGATATTGAGTCTGATTCTCATGTGATAATTTGTATGGTTAATGAGGAGTAAGCTATAAATGCTACTTTGGAGTGTTTTATCCATGATATTGGTTATTTGATGTCTGGCGCTGCTCATGTTGTAGCCTCATATGTTACCTCGCGCATGGAGGTGCTTTCCGTTGAGATGCTTTCCTATTTAATATTATTGCTAGAAATGCAAACGTTTCTATTAGAATTTAATAAAACTCCCCTTTGACACAAAAAAATAAAAATAAATCATTGGAGGCTATGACTGCATCAAAGTGTCGCATACAGAAAAGACGCACAAACATCATCAATCCTAACTGTAAAAAACCACAAGGACTCTGAACCTTAACCTAAGGGTCAAAAACTTTCAATGCATCCTTCTTTCCAGTAAACTTGGCGGGATCCATTGGACAGATCTCGATGCCGACCTGTTCGCATGAGTAAAACATGTCGCGCGGGAATATCTTCTTATTTTCTTTTGGACAAAAAGCCTTGCACGGCCAGTTCAAATCTTGCTTCTCCTCTTCATCCTTATTGGCCATGTCAGTTCCTTGCATGTGATATGGAGTAACAGTTGTATAACTATGAGAAGCCGACGCCATCAATCTTAATATGAGTTGTGAAACACCGCTCTTGATGTAGTTCCTGTTTGCTGCTTTAGCAACCCATAGGACTTTCGCCATTGTCACCGCCATGATCAATATAACAACAAATTCAACGAGAAACAGTGTTTAAAACCTTAACCTACGTAATTTCTAGGTGTTCTCTATATGTGCGTGAGAGAGAGTTGGCAGGGGGAGGAAGAGGGTTTAGGGTTTAAAGTTTTAGGGGTGCTCTAACTAGACCAATCAATGGACCCGGTGTAATTAGTAGGATATAGGTTTGTGATTTCCACCCAATTGTCCGTTTATGATCCAAATTCGATTACCTGTTAGTTAACAGATCAAATATGAATTAATGCTAATCCTATCCGACAAACTTACTTGAAAATAGAATACCCTCCAAATTCTCGGTCATCAGTGGATCTTCTTTGGTTTCCTTATATCATTAAAAGGGGTTTGACTGCCTATACTTATCCTATTGGGGTTTTGATTATGATTTTAGTTGGGCTTCAGTTACCTTCAATTGGGGTTATCATTGTGATTCAGAATTTTCAATATTTTCTCGTTAAAATTTCTTTGCCTTCCAAAGCCACTATACCAAGCATATTCCATATCCTTCAATTAATAAATAATTAAAAAAATTTACCAAATACATATTATCATAATCCACCTCCTATTTGAGTCGATTATTATATTGTTTTAGTACGTCAAATAAAACTAACATCTCCCACTCACCCAAATAGGAGTGGTATCCTCACATTCAGTCACTTTTCATCATCCCAACATTCTGACGTTCACAAAGAATGGATTATGGTGTGACCCTACGAAAACACGTACATCATAGAACAGAAACTTTGTCCCTCAAGCGATATGTACTAATGTTCTTGTCTTTATGTGAACGTTGGCCAGCTAATGAGCTACCTTAAATGTGGTGTAATGACAAACTGCTTTCCCTAAGCATTCATGCCAATCCTACTAGACTTGACCGCTTTCTTAAACGTACCCCTTTAGATGATAATGATTGTTGATCGCCGTAGATAAGTTGCTAAAGTAGCAGTCGTGAAGTATCCTTTTTCTGACATGGTCCCAAAGGGTACAAATATTGGATTCGAAAATCCAGTGGCTCACACAGTTATGAAGAAGGGATTATTACTTCCACTATTTTGGTCTACTAAAGCACATATAGTTTTAGTCTCCAACATGTATGCTATCATGTATTCTCTTACTTCAAATATGAGCATGTTACTTTGTCTGAAACAAACACTATTATGTCATAGGAATCTTAGTCTAGTTGCTATATAAACGCCTGGCCTGAGTCTCTCAGCATAAATGCCCTCCCGGCGCCCACCTAAGACAACTCACGTTATATAAAAGTTGGAAATCGAGAATGATTTACCTCCAAAATCTCTATCATCAAGATTCTTGTTCCCCCAAAGAAGTTGGAGACCGAGAATCATTTACCTCCAAAATCCTTATCGCTTAGGATTTTGGGGAAACAAGTGAGTGAGTGAATCGGAAAGAGGGAGAGAGCGACCCCCGTCGTCGACAGTATCACTGCTTTTGCTAGGGTTTGGGAAAAGACTTGAACTACAAAAATACCAAAAATGAAAACGCAAGGACTTGGCTCTCGCCCGCGGCCCAACCCCACCGTGCTCAAATTTGTGTACAAACCTTATGCGCTACGATTTTTTCTATGTTTTGTCTATTGACATCAGAGGCAGGATCTTTATGTCTATGAACGAAATTTACAAATTTTCGAAAAGATACAAAACTTCATTAGGTCGAACATCAAAACCCCATAAAATATCGGGATTGTGATCCTATGGGGTGTGCAATGCAATACATGTTGGTGTGGAGATTTTGCACTTTTGACTATAATTTTATGTTACAATTTGTATTTTCTGCAGGCTTTAGCTAGCAGTTTGCAGGGACAGGGAGATGCTCCCAAACCATGTTAGGTTGACAAAAATTCCTTAGGCGGGCCATTCACCGATAGGGTGGGAAGCCATTCACTCCACTCCAATTTATTTGTGCCTCGTAATTCACTAGCAGTTGGAGAAGCCATTACCCTTGAGACCAAATCCTTGACATGTAACTCGTAATCATGCAATGATGTGTTCGTTCAACTTCTGTATCAGGTTTCACTTAGGAGCCACCGTTCTCAAAGCTTGACAAACGAGAGTCGGATAGAACAGTGAACATCTGCGTGTCCACAAATAACTGCACAAGCCACAGATTGCAAATGAAATAAAAGACGGGTGACATGGCTTCAGGGTACAAACGAAACATCCAAGAGAAGTTTAGAGAGGATTGTAAGTTACCTTGATAAATTGCCTGTCCTTGCTAGGAAAGGAATCGATAAAGCTCTCTTTAAGAAGTAAAGAAACCTGAAAGGACAGTAAAAGATTTACATGTCAAAAAGTTAACAAACCAGGTCCCCTGAGGACTTTTAGGAATATAGAAACTACGGTGTTAGTTTCTCTACCCTGTCACTGTTTGATTGTACACTCGTTATTGTGTAAGACCTTAGATCTGAACAAAGTGACTCCATGTAGTTCTTCATGACTTCCAAAAACTGACCTGCAGCTTCGACCTGAAACGTGTAGGAACAATATATATTTCGCATTCACAACTAGTAAAAGTGTCGAACTGCTAATATGAAGTTTCCAAGTGTAAATCCAGCAGAAGCAGTAAGCATGCAAGTATGACAGTAAACCTGCACTTCGTTGCACCTATATACAGGATGCTTTTTAGCAAATGAACCTTCACATGACAGTCTAGCATGGATGGGCCCTAATTCAGTGGCTAGATCTTTATGTCTTGGAAGTGACGGCAAATGACACATTTTCACCTGCACGAACAACAAAGTAACAGTAAGTACAATAGTTATTCTTAATATGAAAAAGTGCTGGAAATTACTGAAAACTGTAAAATACGTAGCAATTCCTCGAAGGTAGCATCGAGAAAAAACTGAGCATTCTGTAGTTCTGAAGAGATAACCCTAAAAGAAAAAAGGTATTCTAGAATTCATTGCTTGATTCAAACTTGGACACGCAGGAGTTCAAAGATCTTCCATAGTGTTCTAGAGACCATCTACCTCTTTATAAGCCATTGGTAAGGAAAAAATAGCAGAAAAAACTAAATGAGAATAAAAGAAACCTGATCCTTTTGCACATTAACTTGAACAGGATCCGATGTTTTCCTCTTCAGGTCTGCAGGAAACTGTTGTATCCCAGTCTGTCATATGATAAGAGCACAAAGAAAATTAAACTAAAACTAATGACGGTAGTTTTCTTAGAACCCTCGAAATTTAAGCTAGAACTTGAAACATGAATTGTCTGGCAATAAAATTAGGATTTCCTATATATACCAGAAAGTAATAACATTTAGGCACAAAATAGAATTTCCGAGAATTAAGACCATCATAAGAGTTCTACAGGGTAATACTTGACAGGATTACCACTTCACTTCAGAGCCTAGTTCATAAATAGTACATGCTGATCAAAATCAAATATTCAAGACTGAGTAATATGTAAACTAAACTAATTAAAGAGAAAAATTGTATGCAGAATGTTGTAACTGCCTAAGAAATATATGAATTTGGAGATGACATCCCATTTAGGATTCTGGCTTCGTGAATACATAATATCCAAGCAAAGCAAGGAACTGCGTTTGATCAAGCCTTAAAGTTAACCGCACATACTAGCACAGTTTTAGCACCTCACTTGGAAGAGAGAGTGAATCCTAGACACTGTTCTAAAAATCCCCGCCTAGCACCGCCTAGGCCCCACCTAGGCGCTAGACGGCTGACTATCGCCCTGATTAATGCCTAGGCGTTTGAAAATTAAGAAAGGGTGCCTAGACCGTCTAGGCACCCGCCTAGCTTGCCCAGACCCGCCTAGGTTGCAACTCACTTAGACAGAAAATATGTAACTTTCATTTTGCATTTTTTTTTTCAATAAATTGTAAAAGACTTGTTGAATACTCAAATGAACATACATTATATGCTTGTTCCCCCATGTTTTCATTATGTTCCAATACTTCATAATATATATGTCATTCTATTTTGTAGTTTATGATGAAATTATATATATTTTAAGTATAAACAGACATTTATTTACACGAAATATAATAGATTTACTTAAATCCGCCTAGTCCGCCTAGGTGCTAGGCCCCAGTCCGCCGCCTGACTAGCACCTAGCGTCTTTTAGAACCTTGATCGAAGAATGTCGAACATGGGTCTGAGAGAAAGTAATACGATGCAATACATTTATACAAATACAACTATAAAAATGAAACAAAACTCACAATAAATGGAACTGGGGCGTCAAGAAAGTCAAGCATTTTCCCTGGTAGAACCTGAAGATATTTAAGAAACTTAGAGAAAAACATACATTTCAGGACATCATCAATGATATTGCTTCAATAATTAACAAGGTTATACCTATAAGAAAATATTTTACATTCAGCAATAATATCGAACTTACAGGAAGCATTAAACTCTGCCATTGAAATGGACGAATCATGGGAATGAGAGATAATACTGTAGCTGATAGCACACCCTGCATTGATTGAAGTGTCAAATGTTCAAACTCTGAAAATAAAAAGTGCTCTCAGGATTGATGCACGTAACTCCAATACAAACAATTACTTACCAGATTCGGACACACTATTACCACTTGTTTTTCTAGTAATACTCCCGTAAGCAATGATAAAATCTGGCAAAAACACCCCCAATGAATCACCAAGAGTAGACAACAATATTTACTATAAAGGGGGTGAGGGAGAAAAAGAGACTCTTTTTCAAAGGAGAAAAGTGAGCCCACATGGAAATATGCAGTTAGGTTAGAACTTTCAGTGGCTGTACGGGATTTAAAACTTTCAGTCTCACAGTGGACTTGAATCAAAGGAAAAATGTAGAACCATTACATCACATGATGTGAATAAATATTGCTTAAAATAAATCTGGACCAAATGGTAAAAGGAATTTACAATCTTAACACAGCTGGACTCAAGCCAAACAACTGAGCTTACACTTTCAAGGGAGAGAACTCGGCAGATTGTTGCAGTTGTCCATATTGATAGTGCAAGCGCTTCTTCAGCAGCAGCTAGCATAACATCGACCTTTAACCAAGTGAAGTAAGTTGAGTCAATACTAAAGAATACAATAAAATTTAGAGAGAGAGAAAGAGGCCTAAGAAATACCCCAGGATCTTGAAATGAATCTAAACTATTCTCATCAAAACCAAGAGCAGCTACTGGAGGTCGCCTATACTCAGTAGCTTGAAGATGTTCAAGAGGTAGAAACGATAATTCACTTCCTCGTTGTGGGAGAGGCAGAGCATGAAAACCACAAACAATCTGTAACAAATCGTTCTTGTTCTCCTATCATAGAGAGTTGATACAAAAATAACTGTCAAACGGAAATCAAATTATCACTTATGGGGAAAAATAAAATGAGTGAGATTGACAGTGTCGATATACTCACCCTAGCCCATTCCATTATCAGTTCATCACCAAACTCTTTCTCACAAGTCGAGAAAAGGTCATCGTCTTCATCCTCCGATACCATGCTTCTAGCTGGACTGCCAAAGATAATAATAGATTATTGAAGTTGTACGTATATGGTAACAAGGGCGAGAACCATCAAGTAATTTTACATGACATAAAGAATTAAGAGCGAAACAATAACGGAGCTATTTCAAGTACTACTTAATCTCATATAACAGCGCATATTAAAAAAACCTATTAATTTATGTATTAAGCATAAAATGATAAATCAAATGTAAGATAGCCATATATTGACCACCTGAACAAAGATTCGGAACTGCCAAGACGCTCCAATGTGCGGTTCCTGGAAGAGAAAGATGGCCCAACCTCTGGAGAAGTATGGCCATTTCTGAAAAATGAAATCAATTAATTTATGTTTTAAGGCACAAAATGACAAATCAAATAATTAGCAATGTATTTACCACCTAAATACAGATTCAGCACTCCCAAGACTCTCAAACGTGCGATTTCTGGAGGAGAAAGATGTCCCAACCTCTGAAAAAGTATGGTCATTTCCATAGTTTCCGCATATTCTTTCTGAAGCTTCCGAACGAGTTTCTGAGACCTCAAAACCATAGTCATCAGAACATTGTGAATCCTTTCTACCATCCTTGTCTAAATACCGTACTTGACTAAAATCTGAACTCTCACTAGCTGAGACACTTTCAGGGGACTGCAGTTCCCATATCTTGAGTGAAGAAGGTGGAGTCTCATCGTCCAGTCTAATTCCTGCACTGGCAGCTGTAAGGGCAATTGGACTGTCAACTGGTATTGCAGAGTCCATCCAATTATCAAAAGACTCCCTCTCGGGGGACTCATCATCATTATCTTGTACATTGGGCAATGTAGGGACAAAATCAGTAAGTGCCATTTCACTAGCAAATTGTGTGATTCGCTTCAGACGCTCCTGTTGAACGATACTGCATCCAAGTAAGTAAAAGCGGTGAAATGCATTGATTTTTACAAGGATAAAGAAGATTTTGAAATGTATATGCGATACTCACAAGTTATAGAGAAACTAAAACTACATCTCACCTATTCAGCATCTCGTAGTGTAACTCAAAAAAAGGAACTCTGGATAGCACACAGTAGCATCGAGGCGCAGAAACCAAAAATCGGAAGAGTCCTCCCATCGAATGAGAATTAGGTGATGAGATGCCTAAGATAGCAGGAGGCCTCTGAACAATTTCTGACACGTGTAGGCAAACACCATAAAGTGTTGCATTGTCTGCCACCTGATCAAAGGGTATTACCTTTTTAGTAACCGTGTGTGCTACAAAGGTAGTAAAAATCTTCAAAGGGGATAAAAAAAAGGTAGTAAAAATCTTCAAAGGGGATAAAAAAAGGCATAAGATACCTTGAGTGAGAAAATAAATGATAAATCATCTTTTCCTAAATGCTCCTGTTGAGAATACCCGTAATTAGAGTGCAATCTGTGTTTTATATTTATATATTTTATATAATATTAACAATAATGAGATGAAACATAAAGTGGCAAATCAATCTGCAAACTCTAAATGGAGATGACTCCAATGATTTCCCCAGCCTACACATGACTGATTAAACTAATAAACTTAAAAACACATTTTAAAACAAGATTGATCTCGTTTTATCTTCTGACATTCAATGGTAATATCAGAGCTGTATCTCCCTGAGGTCTCATGTTCGAAACCTATATCCTTGTTACCCTACTTCTTTATTAGTTTTAAAAGTGCAGGTTGGGGCTAAACCGACGTTTCTCCATCTACATATATGTTTGCCTTTCCACGTGCAAGATGGACATGGACTGCACGTTGTTGGCTCATTTCCTAACTGTTTAGCTCTAGATGCTGGTATAGGAGTGAGGAAGAATAAAAAGGAAAAGGTAATTTTGTGGCACCTATTTCTCCATTGGTCAATACCAGTTACACTTTGTATTCTTTTGTTTTTCACATGGTTATCTTTGTAGAAAAAGAAAATGCAGATAGCAAAGTACAACGAAAAGGCTATGAAAAGGCTAAAGGCTATAGTTTTCTCATACAGTATTTATGTTACTTTGTTATTAGTACCTAGATTGTGAACGCAAACCCTGCTACGACAAAATTGTGAAAGAGGCAAGTTCAAACCATCCAACAAGCAAGAAGTTGTGTTAATTCACAAGATAAAACAAAGACAAATTGCAAGGGTGAGAGGAATATATATGTCATAGATTACAAGAGACATTTCCGTGTACCTGTCCGTAAACAACTTGATTTAAATCACTTAGTGATGGAGTCTTCTCCATTAACCGTGCCTGTAATGTGATAATCCACATATGAGAACCACGTAGAATTACATCAATACAACAAAACTGTTAAATGAATACAAGTTTAATGATCGAACTTAGAATTGTGGAAAAGAAGCAATATCAAACCTTAACCCCTCCAGGAAAACAAAAGGAAGCTAAATCTTTCAAACGCATATCTAGACGCTTCCCAGGAGGATATTTGAAAAGTATCTGTAGGTCCAGTAAAACATTCAGGAAACATATAAATTATCATTGCATGCCAGAAGAGAAAACAAAGTCCCAGGGAACTTCTTATGCAGTTATACACTCAACCTGAGGTTCTAATGTAGGAATTGGAGGTCCCCGCTGCTGTAGCAATTTAAGGTCAACAATTCCAGAGTTTATCATCTCCATCTCCCATTTCTTTCTTTTAACAAATGCATCCTCCACAGTTTCAAGGTTAGCATCCGGATGAAGCCCCGCAATAATAAAATGCTCAAAGAGTGAAGTTGGCTCGGTATATCTTATATGGCCCTAGAAGATCATAATCATAAACTTTAGTTAATTAGACAGACAATTAAACCGATCAAGAACAGAGCTTTATTAAGCAATAACATTCAAGCATCACTGGGGAAACTGGTTCCAAGATTTTCATATGGATCACTATATTTAATCATTTGCTTTTTCCAGTTTCGATGTCTAACTATGCAATCAAAAATCCTATATCTATATTCATGTACAAAGTATCCGAAAAAAGGTAACTTTCTTACACAATAGTATAAACCCACCGAATTTACTATTACTCGATAGCATGAAATTCTCGAGTAATAAAGTTCTGTTTTCTCTTTTCCTTTTTGTGTAAGTAACAATGTATCAAGCAATCCCATAGCAAGAGTACCTTTGATTTGGAGTGAAGCTGATACCACTGACGTTTTTGGTTTGCCAAAACCTCAGGATTGAAAGCCAACCGCAAATCATCCCGCGAATTTCCACCCCATCTCCACGCCCTCTGCATCTGATTTTTCAATTTCTGGAAGCTATTGCTCCGTCTGTGTCCCGTAGTTACAATTTCACTTCGGGAGCGCCTATGCCCCGGTGCCAATGGTGGCATGCTCGAATTACCCGGGACCACATTTTGCAGTGTCTCCCCTGCCACTTTAAGTGCCTCCTCAGATATTTCCTGCAAAACCTGAATAGGCGACGGAGGCTGCTCTTCGTATGCTTCGGCATCTTCTTTACCCTCCATTTTAAAACCCTTATCTCATCTTCGTAAAATGCTCATTTCACCGAATTAATACTCCATCGCTCCATTGCTTAAAAAATCCCAAACCAGCATACATTCAACCCATTTCACTACTTCTTATAGCTCCTACAACATGCCAACACACAATAACAAGGCCCAGATGCAAAAAAACAACACAAAATCCGAAACGATTCTCTCCTTAAATGTGTTTGATCCTCGATTTCGCGAAAACCCGGATCACAGAAGCATTCAATCTACTCACAAAATCCGCAAGTTTTGAACTTTTTAATCAGGCAAACAATACACACTCTGGAAAATCCCAATAGAATACGAAGCAAAACACAAAATTTAATATAAACACGATTAAAATGCAGAGAAATGAAAGGGCAAAAAATCGAGCATTTATGAATTCAAATGTATTTCAAAATTTGTGAAAATGGCATCATGGTTTCATTGATTTGTAACTGAAACAGAAGATGAAGGGGCATATTGGATGGTAACTGGCATGAGAAAATTAAATACAATGATGCAAATTAATAAAAAATCATATCACTCTGGGATTTGAGAAATATAGTACCTTTTTTTCTTTGGTTTCAAATGTATTGATCTTCAGATTGAGGGGAGAGAGAGAGAGAGTTGCTAAATTTGGAATGGGGTTGTATAAAAAGAGAGGAGAGGAAGTATTTATTTAGGAAGAGGTCTGTGAATATCAGACATGAACACAAGGGAGAAGGACAGCTCAGGTAGAAATCGAAACTCAGAGAATATCAGAAACCACCCCTTGATTTTTACATATTTCCCTATTGCACCATCCAGACTTTTTCAGTTTTCTTATCGGGACAAAAGAACGGAAACAAAAATAGTTTTGAAAAAAAGGTATTGAAATTATGAACAATATTATAATTACCTATATATTATCCATGCTTTTGCATTCCTCACTTGCCATTGCCATTTAATGTCGAATTCAGGACACATCATGTGAAATACAGATTTGATATTCGTCTCAAACTACTGAACTATCCCACGAAAAATTGAATTTTGTCTTAGCTTTTCAAGTTACTTTCTAAGAAACTGTTTTATGTTCTCTTTTGTTTCTTTTTTTATTTGTATTGTAATTAACTTTAGAGAACGAGTCTTTTAATTAAGATTATACTTTTATTTATGATTTTCACATTTGAATTTGATTAATTATTTGGCTACCCGTTTTACTATTTATATATTATCTTATAGTAATTCAATAAAACTCTTTATTCCTATAAAACAAAGAAAAAGGTAGGTTGCTAAAATGGAATCGACCTAGTACAAATTATGTGAAACTAATATGGATGAGCAGTTGGCTTAGAAAATTATGTGTGGTGTTTTTCACTCTAATACATAGAGAAAAGTTACATGATTTAATTTTGGTAAGTTATGAGACCACAAATACATAACATCAAGTAATTATTTTTAGTTGCAATGAAAGAGAGCTGAATTCTTAACTTGACTTAATTATAACTAATTTATTTATTTATTATTATAACTTCGACTATAGTTAACTATAAAACAAATTATGACACAAGTACTTCCCAACTATCTATTTTGTTGTAGCAAAACAACTTTCAACGATACAATAATCATAAAGAATGTTCTCTTAAATAGTAATACAATTTTTTTTAATAGAAGCGATATTTTTACTCTAAACTATTTTAAGGGAAGATGAGAGTTTGAACTGAGATGAAATAAATTGAATACGGAAGTTTTAGCCACTAATAAGACAATCTAACACGTGTTTGACATTAAAATGTATGTGTATGACGAATGAGAAAGTAACGGGTGTGTTTATGATATTATCAGAAACCTTGAGGCCTAAAACGAAATTATAGTAAAAAATGGAAAGTATCATAATTGCAATAACTTCCAATAACGAGAAAGTGCATTATGACTTTGAGATCCAACGTGTCGCATGCAGAAAGTACCCCACTTCCACAAGACAAACTGTTAATGCAGTGGGTCCGGAAATCGAAAAACCGTTGCGATGCGATGGTGTTACGATCCTGACCGTCGAATATGCACCGATTTAAATAAAATAAATTAATAATTAGTCGCGGGAAATCCTTCTAGGTTGTACAGATCAGCACGTGCCTTTTTCTCGGGGAATTGGATCCTCTTATTCCGAACAATATGGATTATTGAATTTTGACTCAACGACTATAATTATTATAATTTTAAAAAGACCTCCTATATGTAGTCGTTAGATTAAAATCTAACAATCTGTATTGTCCGATCAGGAAGATTCCAAGACTTTGTCTCAGAAAGGATCCAATTCCTTTTCTTGGTACTTGCTTATTAAAATCGTCTTTAGGCGCGCGATTCTGGAGCCGTTGATTACAAAGACAAGTGAGTCAATGAGACTTTTATGGGAAAGATTCTCATAAACAAAAGTTAATTAGTGATTAAAAAGAATGATTAAGCATTGAACCTACTACCTACGCGGATTAATTTTAATTTTAATCATGCGTGGATCCCCACCCGATCCACCGCCCGTGAACAGTAAAGGGGTAGCTAAATATATTTTACTCATTTACATTTAGGGGTTTACGCATAGTAATCAGAATGAAAAAAAAAAGTTTGATTTCGATTACGGATTATTTTAATGTTTACTAAGATATATAAAAAAATCAAGAATGTGTAGGGGCCACATGAAAAATGGAATCCAACTCTTCTTTTTGGAGAATTTTTTTTTAACAAATGATGTTATTTCCGGGGGCGGAGGTGAGCTAAGCTTCACAATGAGACTAGTAATAATGTGATTTAAATTCGTCTTAACTTCAATGTTGGGAGGTGGGAACTGAAAGTTCATGAGTTGGGGGCAATCAGGAATCCATCATGCAGCCCATCCCACCTCGTTATAAACACATAAATTTTTTCTTACTGGTGTGAAATTTATACTCTCAACAAATTCATCATGCAGCCCAGCCCACCGATTGTCTACGCAATACACTCGTATCTTTGAGTTTTCTAATAAATTTGTACGTAAAATAAACATAGGTGTCGGACGTACGATCTACGTGTTTGTGCGGTCACACATATACAAACGAGATCCCTCCAATTGGGCAACTTTAGCAGGCTTGCAATCAATCAATTCAAGCCCATCGTCATACCTTCCACGAACCACGACCACAAGGCCTGCATGACTCATTCGTAGCCGTAAAAGTGGGTCGAAACAAAATTGTGTACTTCCTTCTTGGTTCCAAAAAATGCCCCTCACAAGACCGCAAATTCCAACAATATCCCTAACCTTCTTCATGGGTTGATGTAAAACGACTTATGAGGAGCTGAGTCACTTCTCACTCCTCATCAGTTTCTCTCTCCTCTCTCTCTCTCTCTCTCTTTCTTTCTCTCTCTCTCCGCCAAGTTCGGCGATCCATTTTAAACCCTAATATTTTTCTCTGTCTCGCTCAATTCAAAACCCTAAATGCGCTTCCTCCACCCTTCAACTTCCCCTTTACAGAAATTTTCCCGGGAAATTCTGGAAATTTTCCCGGAAATCCAAGGCTTGCCCATTTTCATGTGGTTCGAGCATTGGCTTCCCGTATGATTCATTCGCTTCTTTCTTCACAACCATGCCTCGGATTTTCCAGGTCAAGAAAAAGTTCAAGTTTTTCTTCAAACCCTAGTCTGTGAACTTCAATCAGCGATGGATCCGGGTCCAATCTACATAAGCTCCGATGACGAACTGGGCTGGACCGACCTGGATGAGGAGGACAACTTTGATTGGGTATCGGACCTTCTGGAATCTGTCGACAAGGTAACCGATGATGACGATGATGACGATGATGATGATTCCGATGACGTTGTGGTGATTAGTGAGGTCAACTCCAAGCCCAGTAAAAAGTCTTCCAAACGGACGGTGGCGGATGTGGACGATGATTGTGTGGTCTTGGACGGTGACCCGGATAAGCCGGTTTCGGTGGTGGAGGATTCGGGTAGCGGCTCCGACGAGTTGCTTGTGGTTGGGGAGAAGGGGCAGGTATAAATTCGACCCGATTTATGTTCGAGTATGAATTTTAGTTTACTCTGAATTGGAAGTTAGAGAAAGAAAACTAAATGCTTTGGAAGTTTTTTTATTGTTGGTTTGATTGGAGGAGTTAAAGAAATTTAATTTAACTGAAGTGTTGTAGTTATCGCAGCTTAATAATTTTTCGACTTGTGCTTAACTCTGTTTGGTTGGTTGCCATGAAAATGTACCAAACTGATTCGTTGTGGCATTATTTTTTGGGATAGGCTAATGATATTGTTGTCATATGAATTTTGGGACTACCTTTTTAGTAAGGGAAAATTATTTGTGGATGCATCTGAATGATTTATACATATTTTGAATTTTGCCCCATTGTCTGTGAAGCACAAGCTTTGGTGTTTCTGGATGCTATTGTTTTTCGGACATAGTTATCTTAATAGTCTTGTTTTACGGTGAAAACCCGTTTCTTGGTTTTTGGTGACCTTGATATTGAAGTTCCATTGGTTTAAAGAAGTTCCCCTTGGATCGTGGGTTTTTCTTGGCTTAGCTTGTATTTGGCGTTGTTTGCTTGCTTGGCCACTTCATCTTTCAGTCTGTTATTATTTTCTTATGTTAAAGTTGTTTCTCATGTACAGGACCGCAGCACCATACATTGTCTAATCCCTTAATTTTTGTATTATTTAGAAGGATGTACGCACCTTTTGCTTTTCCAGTTTTAATTTATCTTATTTCTTTGGTTGCAGGTAGCATGTAGAGACTACCCTCATCCACGACATCTTTGTGCCAAATTTCCTTTCAAAACTACCCGGCACGAGAACCACTGTGATCTTGTGAGTTCACTCTTACAAGCTGTTGCTTATAGAATTTCCATCAAATAGTATTTTCTTGCCTGAGTTTGACAATATATCACTATGATTTCTTATTTTTTTCCTTCTAAACTGTAGTGTCACTGTTATGTCTGTGACTCGCTGGCACCATGTGTACACTGGAGCACCAGAGGCTCCAACTTTGATCATTGTCATGCCACGGACAAAGAAGAGACATGGAAAGTACTGAGAAAAGATTTCAAGACAGCAAAAACTGCACCATTATCAGCTTCAAACAATCTGGCACCGACTAAACATAGTCCAGTTCCACCTCTCAATATTATTCGGTTGGCACCCAACTCTTTACCACAGAATCAGGTCTCTAGGCCAGCTACAGTCCGCCCTTGCACCTCAGCCGGTCGTACCATGCCTAGTATCAGAATTCCAAGCAGAAGTCACCAACCAGAATATCTTGTCCCTAAGAACAAAGTCCAACCATGTTCAGTTTCTAAGCAGTTGCTTGGTGCACACACTAATGTTGTTGGGAGGAACCGAGGTCAAAATATTGGTCATTTAGGCCCCGTCTCTTCTCATTCAATGTTCAAAAGAGTAGGAGCTGTTGTGAACCGAAGTACATTTGTTTCGTCAAATAACAGTAGTTGTGCCACTCCATTAATATACAACAGAACTTCCACTCCCATGGCAACATCAAATGGCGGAAACCCCTTGTGGTTGCAGGGTGTTCATTCTAGTGTGCATCAGAACGCCTCCCAGCCCATGACCACTTTCGTTGGAAATACAGTGCCCTCCCAACCCCAAACATATAGTCAGGCCATCCCCCAGTCAATTTACAGCCAAACTTTTCAACAGCAAGGGAATCAAAGTCAAAATGATAGCCAATTTATTTGTCAGTACGCGATACCAAGTCCGGATTCCAGTCAAGGTGTATATCAGTATGGGAATCAGAGTCAGAATTCTAGTCTGCAAGGTAATCTAGGTGTAAGTGTCACAGATTTGGATTTTACGGATTGTAACTGGGTTAACACTTCCAGTCCAAACATTCAGCGGCCTCCAATTCAGCAACCTCCTATTCAGCAGCCTCCAATTCAGCAACCTCCTGTTCAGCAGCCTCCGCTTCAGCAGCCGCCATTTCAGCAACCTCCCATCCAGCAACCTCCCATTCGGCAGCCTCAGTTTCAGCAGCCGCCTCCTATCCAGCAACAGCCTCCCATTGAACTTTCTGAAATTCAAAGCACCGAGCCTGTATCCGAGCCAGCTCCCGTCAATGAGCAGTCTAACAAAGGCGCAAATTTCAATGGTTTGGATACCGAATTTGAAAGCTGGCTCTTTGAAGCCGAGTCTAGTCCGGCTGAATCAAATAATGCGATGGCATCTCACCTGAACATGTTGTCTCCCGAGCCGACTTTTATAGACTCACTCTTGTTTGATTTTGAAACCCCCTGGAATGGTCTGGCGCAGGTATAGTCGACTGTCACTGTTAGTCCTTCGCTAAAAGCGGGAAGCTTATGTACGTAGGTGAAGTGACTCTCGCTACTCTAGCGTTTGAAACGAAAAAAGCTGTTTGACACAACATATGATTCAGCAAAATAAGGCTGGTTGTGAGGAGCTTTGGTAAGTGTATAGGTGTTTGAAGAAGTGGTGTACAAAGTATCCCTAGGTTGGAGATGCTGTGTAGAGGCTGGTTGTTTCCCAAAGCTTCTGCCAGTTAATTATTATTTCTGGGTTTTTCTAATAAAAAGTTGTTGCTTGGGTTTGCTTACGGAAATGGCTAAAAGTGTTTTTGACAATCAAAATGGTGGAGGAGAAGCGTCTGCTTGAATGCAGGACACTTGAAGTGCTTTTTCAGGAAGCATTTGACTGCTTAATAAAAATTTCAATGTGTTTTAGAAAAAACGTTTGAACCACAATTTGATCAAAAAAAACAAAAAAAGAGCCAAAAACTGTAACATGTGTCTCTTGGCACAATGCAAGCCGTCTACCAGCGTACAGTTGCCGGTCGATCGACCGTGAGATCCCGATATGCATCTTACATGGGAATAATTTGGAATGTTATGTGAAGAGAGAGAAACACACGAAGCTATATAGGCTGTGGAAGGAAAAATATCCAGGCCTGATAGTGTTAGGAAAAACTTAATGGTTGGCCCAGAAAACCCCTCGGCAAACATAAGCTGCTTTCTGTTGCACACGAGTGTACAAGTCTGCAGACATTAGACTGAAGAACACTCTGCTTCTCTCTCTATCTCTCTCTCTCTCTCTCTCTCCGTAGTTGCAAGTAACAGAAGAAAAACAAAACATAGCAAAGACGCGAATTTGAAGTAAGGCGCTACTAATGGAAAAGGGGTCCCAACGCCAAACCGAAAGCGAAAGGGCCGACCTTGACGCCATTGCCGCCCTCAAAGAAAGCTCTGCCATTGAGTTCAAGGTTCTCTCTATATCTCTCTCTAGAATTACACAACTCTTATCATATCCATTTCGTTTTTTCATATTTTGGGCTTGGCAGGAAAAGGGGAACGAGTGTGTGAAAAAAGGGAAAAAGCATTTTTCGGAAGCCATGGACTGCTACACGAGGGCAATCAATCAGCAAGCTTTGACCGATTCCGACATCTCAATTCTCTTTTCGAATCGAGCCCATGTCAATCTTTTGCTTGGAAACTATAGACGCGCTCTTACTGATGCCTAGGAAGCATTCAAGCTCTGCCCCACTAATCTCAAGGTGCTCGAGTTTTGCCGTGTTATTGCTGCTTGAATTTTTAGTCTTTTTTGTGTTGTTCTGAGGTGGGTTTTGTTTGAAGTTCTGGTGTTTTTAATTTTTTATGTGTTAAGTGATGTGGGTGTTGATTTTTAGGCTTTGTACCGAGCTGCGAAAGCGTCTTTTTCGTTGAACTTGTTGTCTGAATCGGCATCACATTGCGAAAACGGGCTTAAACATGACCCGGGTAACGAAGAGCTGAAGAAGCTGTTGAGGCCGATTGAGTTGAAGAAGATGGAACATGAGCAGCGTGAGGCTCAAGTTTCAAAGGCAATTGCAGAGGCTAAGGTTTGATTATGATTCTAATGGAGTAATGGGATGATATAGTTATGATTGAACTGTTTGTGATTATTCTGAGTCTTGTCTTTGTTTGTTTGTTGGAATAATGCAGGACCTTGTTTCCGCGATTGAAATTCGAGGCATGAAGCTTGGGAAGGCAATGTATCGAGAACTTACTGGATTACGAAAGCCTGTACTAGACAAGAATAATACGCTTCATTGGCCAGTTCTTCTGCTTTATGCAGAGGTTATGTCCAGTGACTTCATTGAGGATTTCTGTGAGACAGACATGTTGTCAGCTCATCTCAACGTGATATCCTTCTTTTAAAGTGTATTATATTTTAAAACTGAATTGTCTGTGAGTTTTCAATGTAGCATGCCATGCTTTTGGATAAATGTGCATTTTGTGGTTTCCTGAACTTTCAAACATGTTTTCAGATAGCTGCCCGCCTTTGTCATGGGATCAGGAACACAATTACACTCGTGATGCTATTGAGTTATACTACGAAGTAAGTCATTTTAATTTATAGTCGCTTTGTTGACATATAGTGCTCTTAAAATTATAATCTCTTTGTTTTCACTCAAAGTAAAACGAAGTTGCTTTTTGAAGAGTCTTCTCAATATTTTGTAATATTAAACTTCTGTAGAAGTTAATCTATATTTTGGGTTGCTTATATCGTGTTGGACTACTGAGAGGAATTGGGAAAGTCACTATATCTCAGGATTCTGACCTTACCAGCTACACCTACGTGAAGTGATGTTAATTATTAAATTTGGCAAAGTGCATGTTGTGGCATTGATTGTTGTACCGATGGTTAGCATAAATACATTATCTGATTCTAGGATGCTTCTATCCATTTGTTTAAGGTAATTTTTCATGGACTTTGGGATGCATGTCGTATATAGGATTGTGATTAGATGTTAGGTTTGTCTAGTTCTCAATAGTTAGGACTTGAGATCACAACTGGATTGTAGAATTGTTTGCTTTCCCCTGAGGTTAATTGAAGTCAAAGTGTGACTAGTAGAGCCTGCTGGGGATTCCTATGGATGTCGGTGCATCAAAGAGCAGTAGTCGAGGCGTATAAGTGAACTTGTATAAACCTAGTCATGTCCATTTTTTGTTCTTTCTCTGTAGGTTGGTTGCATGTCCAAGTAATACCTTTTTTTGGGTATGCCCAAGTAATAGGTTTCTGTACCTTTGAGAATCCGTTATTTATGATTTCTCCGTCACTGATTTTGACAGGCTGGTTCAGGAGTTTCTGTGTCAAAGACAGAGATCCTTCGTTGTCTCCTAGAGGGCACACCAGCTTCTAATGTGGAAAGCATCAATGATGAGCAAAAGGATGCCAATGAGAATTCTATTGGTAGCAGCTCAGCAGGTAGGATGGCTTTAACATTATCTTTAGCCCGTTTATCAGTAGTTCATTGATTATGCACTTCGAGTATTTGGCTGTTAGGCTGGGTATGATTTCCCGATGCACTGAAGTGACTCATGACTCTGTTTCAGCGGGTGTGCGCATGTGGGGTTTAAGCTATAAAAAGTCATATTATTGGTGGCCTCTGATAATTTTCAATTTTAGCTTCTCCTCTTTAATGATAGCAATGATGGATAGGGGAAAACAAGAAAGTAGGAACGAACATTCTGTTCTTGATTAAGCATACAATTTGATAGTAATGAAATATACACAATCTGTCAGTTCATTGTTCTGTTACCAATTAAGTTCACGTGACTTTATGAACTGGAAAATTTGTTTCAAATTTTTTACCATTCAAATTCTTGCCGTCACCTATCTACTCACTAGTTACAAAGAAACATTATCGGCCCGCTTTCCCCAGGTTTTACTTCTCTCGGCAAGGTTATCTGAATGTCCTTTATCTGATGTTCCTCAGGCAAAGGTTTCTCTAAATGGATCAAAGTAAACGAAAGTAGGAACACTTTATGACGTTCTGAGAGAACCTAACCTCATCATTCCAGGGATCCCAGGTGTGTCTTTAATTTATCAGTCACCTTCAATTCAGATGGTATCTGTTTTGTTCCTTTCGTTTTCTTACCAGTCGTTTTTTTCCTGTGCAGTGTTTTATGTTGTTTCTAAATGCTCCAGCTTCTATAAAGAGTTCAAAGCCGGGAACTGGGCTCCTCCATCGTGAGTAGGCCACGACGTCGCGTCTCATCCACCTCCATTGCTATACCATCATTTGCTCTATTATACTCAATGGACGAGGCAGTAGTAGATCTAGCCGTTACTATCAAAGCTATTGGACATCAAATGGTATCGGATTACAAGTATTCAGACTATAACAGTACCGATGAACAGTCACTTTGACCCATGAAAATTGTAATATAGAATCTTCTGTTTTGTTAATTGAGTATTTTTTTTTTTTTCGATTCTTCAACGATATTCATTAACAATACATAGAAATTTGTAGATGAATCGAGAATTTTTTCAATACTGAATCTTACGGTCGAGATTCTTCCTAGTCACATTTAAATGGAAATAGACCAATACAGATGTATGTGCAATGTTTTGCATAGAGAATATTCACAGATCGGAGACAGGTAAGTAGTAGAATCCAACCAGGAAACAAATTTGGTAAATTGTTAATTTTTTAAAATTGTTTCTTCAGTAATTAAAAACGTTTCATTTAACTTGGTTTAATTTTTGAAAATGTGTGATCTCCAATATCGGAATATCAGTTATTTACGCGTATTTGACGCCCACTGGTCTTCTTTCCACTTGGAATTCTCTTAGAATCCCCAAGAAATTGGATCTTTTTCCACAATAAATACCCCTTCACGTTCTCCACCCATCTCCCACATTTCCACCTCCCTCCTCCATCCTCCGTCATGGCGGCTGCTATTTCTTGCTCAGCCACCGACCTCCGACCCCTTTTGGGTGCAGCTGCCAACGCCACTGCGGCTGCAGAATACATCTGCGGCCGCTTTGATGCTGTGTCAAACAAGTTTGTCGACACAGCCTATGCTGTGGACAACACCTATCTTCTGTTCTCTGCCTACCTTGTTTTTGCAATGCAGCTAGGGTTTGCCATGCTCTGCGCAGGATCAGTTCGCGCGAAAAATACCATGAACATTATGCTCACCAACGTCCTTGACGCTGCCACGGGCGGCATCTTCTACTACCTCTTTGGATTTGCATTGGCCTTTGGCACACCGTCAAACGGTTTCATAGGGCAGCACTTCTTCGGCCTCAGCAAGTTTCCCTCTCAATCTTTTGATTACGGTTACTTCCTTTATCAATGGGCTTTTGCCATTGCAGCTGCTGGGATCACAAGTGGTTCCATTGCTGAACGAACCCAATTCGTCGCGTACTTGATTTATTCGTCCTTCCTGACTGGATTTGTCTACCCAATTGTGTCCCATTGGTTCTGGTCTGCTGAAGGATGGGCTAGCCCGGCACGTGCTGACAATCTCTTATTCGAATCCGGGGTCATTGATTTCGCAGGTTCCGGCGTTGTTCACTTGGTTGGTGGCATTGCTGGCTTGTGGGGTGCCCTAATTGAAGGCCCCCGCATTGGACGTTTTGATCACGAAGGCAAGTCAGTGGCACTGCGTGGACACAGCGGCACATTGGTTGTTTTGGGCACATTTCTTCTCTGGTTTGGTTGGTATGGCTTCAATGCTGGTTCTTTCCTCAACATTCTAAAGGCATACGGTGCAAGCGGATCATATTACGGGCAATGGAGTGCAATTGGAAGAACGGCGGTCACAACCACACTCGCTGGATGCTCAGCAGCACTCACTACTCTCTTCGGAAAGCGCTTGTTCTCCGGTCATTGGAACGTCACTGATGTCTGCAACGGTTTGCTTGGTGGGTTTGCAGCAATCACTTCTGGCTGCTCGGTTGTCGATCCTTGGGCTGCAATCATTTGCGGGTTTGTGGCGGCTTGGGTTTTGATTGGGTGCAACAAGCTTGCTGAGAAGTTGAAGTATGATGATCCGCTTGAAGCAGCACAGCTCCATGGGGGGTGTGGCTCGTGGGGGATTATTTTCACGGCATTGTTTGCGAAAAAGGCTTATGTGAATGAGATATATGCAGGGCAGCCAAACAGGCCGTATGGGCTTCTGATGGGCGGTGGCGGAAAACTACTGGCGGCGCATTTGGTCCAGATTGTGGTGGTTATAGGGTTTGTGAGTGTGACAATGGGGACATTGTTTTTCTTGCTTCACAAGTTAAAGCTCTTGAGGATTTCAACTGAGGAGGAGATGGCAGGAATGGATGTCACAAGTCATGGTGGATTGGCTTATGTGTATAACGATGAATTCGGCCATCCGGCAACACCGAAACCGGGCTCAAACACAGGCACTACTCAATCTGTTTGATTTGAATTTGGTATTGTTCCCGCACCTTAAAGTTTAGCCCTTAAATCTTAGGATGTAATATATGGTTTGGTTAATTAGCTAGTTACTTATGTTTGGATGAAGAAATTTAAGATTACTAAAGAATTTTAAAATGATGGAAATTGAATTGACGGGATTTTATTTTCTAGAATTTGTGGATTTTCTTGTTTGGTTAGACTAAAAGAACAATAGAATTGAATACGGAATTTGTTATTTTTCAGCTCTCAATCATAGAAATTGGGAAATTACACCTATTTACATGGATTTTAAACTTGGGAATTGAAGGTTCCAAATTTCAAGTTTTTTTCCACACGGAAATTCTAAATTCCTCTGTTTATGAATCCAAACAAGGGAATTGGTGCATGTCAATTTACAAATTCGGACTTAATTCTAAATTTATTTCCCTCATCCACAAGGAAATTCTAAATTCCTAAGTTTATGAATCCAAACAAAAGAATTAGTGCATGTCAATTTACAAATTTTAATTTTTATCGAAATTCTAAATTTATTTCCGTCATGCACCCTAATATATAGTCTTTAAAATCCATGCACACCTTACATAACGTTCAGGGATACACAATCATTCATTCACCGCAATTTTATTGACATGATTGATCGGCGGCAACCGCGACGGCGGCTCACACTTCTTACAATCTTCAACTGGCAGCCGGAAGTTCTAAGTTCAAGGTGATGTAAACTGATAGGAGACATACGAAAGAGCACCGAGCTCCCAGCTTCGTGGATTTGCTTAGCCTTCGCACCCGGGCCAGCAGCCCCCACCGCCACATGCAGCGGGTAAAAGTGATCCGGCCAAGGGTGCGCCATTTTCGCATGCGGCGCCTTGTCCACGTACTTGTTCACATCCTCGTACCTTCCTTCGAGAAGAGCGTCCATGACCCACGCATCTCCCTCTCCGACGCCCTTAAGTTGTGAGTGGCGCTGCCTGACCCCACTATAAGCACGCCCTCGTCCTTGAGTGGAGCCAGCGCCCTATCCATGTTGTAGTGGTACGCGGCGTCCCTCTCTGTCTGAATCGATAACTGGCAAACCGGGATGTCTCTCTCCGGGTACATCATCATGAGCGGGACCCACGCGCCGTGGTTGATCCCCCGCTTGCTATCGACGTCCGCGGGCCCGAAGCCAGACGACGTAAGCAGCTGCATGACGCGGTTGGCGAGGTGGGGGGAGCCGGGGGCAGGGTACTTGAGCTGGTACATCGATTTGGGAAGTCGTAGATGGTGTCGTGGCGGCCGGAAATGGAGTTGACGGTGGGGACGGCGGTCTCCCTGTGTGCGGAGATGATGAGAATGGAGGTGGGTTTGTGAGGATAGACGGTTTGGTTCCAAGACTGGAGCAATTTTCTGGCCGGAATCGCATCGTCGATGCTGAGCGTGGGCGATCCGAGCGATAGGTAGAAAGTGTCCTTCACTGCCATAACAATCTTTTTCCTATTTCTTTGAAGATCGAATTACCACAAAAATGAAAATCCAACAGCACGAAAATTTCTTTTGAGGATTAGTACTAAAACTCAAACAACGTTCCTGTCCATTAGAAGTGAAGTGACCAAATTGGAGGCCCTCCAATTGCTCTCTGTCGTGCGTGTTTTCCGTCCTTTGCACAGCGGAAGGAGAGATGCAACTTTTGCTGCACTGCCAGGCCAAGTTGATGATGCTTCATCCATTGACACCGCAAGCTGTTCCTTTCAAGTCCAGGGGCTCGACATCCTATCAGTACCGATAGTTCTGGCAGGGAAGGAGGTCGTCGTCTATCGGTCGTTCTACTACAATGAAAGTAATTATAAATTATCTTTTAAGGTCTTTATCGGTCATTTTATTTTTAATCATTGAATTGAATAAATCAAACAGTTTCAACTGACAAATTAAACGGAAGCCTGTGAAAGATAAAAAGAATGTATTTATCATTTCTCTTCTGAAAATTCGGACAAGGGAAAAACAAAAACTGAAAAAAGGAGGAAGACAAAAGCTTCCTTTGCATTTAGGCTTCTCGACAGATAAACGCAGCAAGGCAACTCGACCGAGAACAAGATTCAACTAAGACAAAACACCGATAGAAATCTTATAATTCTGCAGCAAAACGTTCCGACAATATACACATAAGATAGCATAGCACAACTGCAAGACGTTTTAATACAACACATGGCAAACCAGCCCGAAGTTCTATTTATAATCAAAGCAGAGCAGTGTCAAAGTTAAAAGGCATAAGGATAAAGAGAGTTCCATCACACAAGAAACTTGGAATAAGCCTCAATGGAATTCTTCGTGAATCCGTAGCAAGGACACCCCGAAGACATCCCACTTCATGCATCGGTAGAAAGCACACACCGGAGGCATTCCCCTTCATGCATCAGATCAAATGCTTTGTTGATCTCACCAAGAGTCAAAGTGTGGGTGATGTATTCATCAACTTTGATTTCCTGCAAAGACAATGACGTAATGTTATACGCTATATAATTTGTTATAAAGGAATTCATATTGTTGAATATTTGTTAAAATCATTTACCTTCTTCAAGTACTTTTCTACAAGCCATGGCACCTGCGAGCGGCTCTTGAAACCACCAAAGGCTGTTCCTTTCCACACACGACCAGTCACCAACTGAAAAGGGCGAGTAGAGATCTCCTGCCCTGATGCCGCAACACCAACAATAACAGATGTTCCCCAGCCCTGCAAACAATTTCAGTGACCTCAATATGTGTTTTATGCACAAAAATTTGAGAAGCAGTCATAAAAGCACTCACCTTGTGGCAGCACTCCAAGGCAGCCCTCATCACCGAGACATTTCCAATGCACTCAAAACTGTAGTCAACACCACCATCAGTGAGATCAACAAGGACTTGTTGGATTGGCTTCTCGTGGTCTTTTGGATTCACAAATTCAGTAACTCCAAAGTTCTTTGCTGCAAATAAGAAATTGCAATAGAATGTCAGCTTTAAATTGTTTATAAAAACCTCGCTGAATGAATCCGAGATACAGCTAATGAGAAAAGATATTAAAAACACAAGCTGAGGATCTTTTGATAGGGTTTGTTCCGTCTTTTATGACAAGTTAAATGACCTAAGAAAAAGAATCCAATGTGCAGGAAATAAAGTATTAATACAGTAATACTACT